TCCCCTCCCCCCACAACTCTCACCCCCTCACCACCAGGTAGTCCACCCATGAAGTCTATTCTGTTTCCTCTTCCCGGGAGATCAGGGAAATTCTTGCGTCCACACTAAAGTCCTCCTTGTTACTTAGCCTCTCTGTATATGTGGATTGCCCCAAGATTATGCTTTACTTTACAGCTAATATCCACTTACAAGTGAATCCATACTTTGTCTTTCTGGGTCTGGGTTTCCTCACTCAGGATGAGGTTTTTTGTTTTGTTTTGTTTTGACTTTGTTTTTGTTTTCTACTTCCATCCATGTGCTTGCAAATTTCATGACGTTATTTTTGTTTGTTTGTTTTGTTTTTCAAGACAGAGTTTTTCTGTGTAGTCCTGGCTGTCCTGGAACTCACTTTGTAGATCAGGCTGGCCTCCAACTCAGAGATCTGCCTGCCTCTGCCTCATGAGTTCTGGCATTAAAGGCTATTGCCACCACACACTGGCTGGGTTTTTCTTGTTTTTTGTTTGTTTGTCTTTTGTCTGTTTTGTTTTTAAATAGCTGAGCAATACTCCATTGTGTAAATGTACCACATTTTCTTTATCTATTCTTCAGTTGAGAGGTATCTAGGTTGTTTCTAGTTTCTGGCTACTATGATTAAAACTTCCATGAACATAGTTGAATAAATGTCTTTGTGGTAGGATGGAACACCCTTTGGGTATATACTCAGGAGTGTTATAGCTGTGTCCTAAGGTAGATTTATTCCAAATTTTCTGAGTAATCTTCACATTTATTTCCAAAGTGGCTGTACAGTTTGCATTCCTACCAGCAATTGAGGAGTGTTCCTCTTGGACATCCTCTCCTGCAGAGACTGTCACTTGTATTTTTGATCTGAGCCATTCTGACAAGAGTAAGATGGAATCTCAAAGTCGTTTTGATTTGCATTTCTCTGATGGCTAAGGATGTTGAACATTTCCCAGCCATTTGAAATTCTTTGTTGAGAATTCTCTGTTTAGATCTGTACCTCACTTTTAGTTTTGATTATTTAGCTTGTTGACATCTAGTTTCTTGAGTTCTTTATATATTTTGGATATTGGCCCTCTGTCAGATGTGAAGTTGGTGAAGATATTTTCCCATTCTGTAGACTGCCATTTTGACCTATTGACTGTAGTTCCATTTATTAATTGTTGATCTTTGTGCCTCCATTATTGTTGCTCTGTTCAGGAAGTTTTCTCCCATGTCAATGTGATAAAAACTATACTCCTACTTTCTCTTCTTGAAACACAGTTGAAAAAATCCACCAGCTATGACTTAATCTGAATTGTCCAGTATTTGGAATATGGAGAGCATGAATGGAACTGGGGAATGTCTTGTACAAAGGAGGAAAAAAATACTATGATATAAAGATAAAAGAATGGTTGTTCTGGTATATATTTAAGGGAGATTTAAAACTAATCAGATGCAAGAATTTGAATTTAATGAACAAAATTATTCCACAAAGTAGTTGCCCTAGGCAGGTTAACAATGATATTTTATGGATGTGTTTCCTTTTTTGCTAGAGGTGGAGAGACTTGTTGATGAACAGTTCTCTTCTTACTTGCTGTTGTCCTTATTTCCCAGAAAAGCAAACTTAAAATACCCACTCTGACCTTTGCCTATATGAACAACATAGGCACTTCTTAAACAATACATGGCAGCAGCTATGGGAAAAGTTACAAACGTTCAGCTTTTTATTGACATCATAGCTGCAGTTTATGCAATCTACTGAATTCCTTCTGATGTATAACTTTGAAACTAACTGAATAAACAGAGAAGTCAGTAATATCTTTATTGCCTTTTCCTATACTTTCATCCCTGTTCCTTTGCACTTACCTTTTCTTGATAAGTGTAATATAGAAAGGGAACAGCCAGACCTCAAAACTTTTGTGCAATTACAAACTCAATCCTGCTAGAATTTGCAGAAGTGCCCTTAAGAGCTGGTGCGTGTCAAAAAGAATCGCTGGTAATCATCTTGCCTAGTCCTTAAACCTGAGTGCAGATTTTAGCTACTGTCTGGTAATAATGTCAGTAAGAAACCAAAGTTTTATAACAAAATTACACCTTTATGTTTCTAATTATATAGAGTATGCTTGCTGTTCTTGAGAAGGCTTTATTCTGTAAAGACTATGCTAGCATTCTCCTCAAAAGTGAATTTTGACAGGTCCTTATCAACAAGTG